AAAACTAATTGAGATCCGACCTTGAAATTTTAGTATGATATTTTTGAAGGTATAAACTTTCGAAAAATGCAAAAAAAATCGATTTTCTTAAAATTTCATACTGGATAGGCCCCTTAATAAATTAAAATTATGATAAGAAATGGTTAGTTGTAAGTGTATCGAAAATGCGATTATGAATGTGAGTTCCCGTATGTATGTGCTACATACATACTTTGGGCGACGATGTGTTGACACTTTCACAAGTTTGCACTCAATTCTAACAGAGACCCTCCATCAAAAGTGACTATGCTAGCCAAGCACGTATTGGGACATGAAGTGATGGCCTGGATGCCTTTTTTCGTTATGTACCGTTACCGTAGGAGAACTTCTGTTCTCTTACGATCATGGGCACTGCCACTCATTTTACTTTGCCCCATAATTCACCTGTTCGATTGTACGTTCTGACCTGTACTTTATTAACGTCGTAGTTTAACGAGAATAGGAACCGGACAAGTTTCTCCCGTGGTAACGCGGTGCGTTCAGTTCTCATCGTTCGCTCTGCGTGGTCAGTTCGAATCAGTTCGCATCGCATCGATGCAAACGAATTCCGCTGGAAAAGAAACGGAACGAACGTAACGAAAAAAAGGAGGAACGGCCGACAATCGCGTAATACCGTTCGTTCGTATTCACCGGAAGTGATTAAAGCATCGGAAGTGCAAGATGAGACTCGCGTTTGCCTTGGCCGTAGTCGCTGTTACCTGCATCGGCGTAAGTACCAACTCAGCGAAAGTTCGATTGAAATTCAAGATTAATAAATGTATTGAGCACGCGTGAATACATGTATCAGCTCCGGTCGTTAGACATTAATCTTGATGCAATCTAATTAAAAAATTGAAATTCAGTTACTGCTGTATAATTATTTACTGATTGAATGCCGATTCCTATGCATCATCGACATAATTCTATTAAGTATCATGACGATGTTATAATATGAAAATTCTCAGGATTAATTCTAATTGCAAGAATTCACTTCTCTCTTCTAATTAAGAATTTATTAGTGTTAATGTATGGTCGTATATCTTGATAGATTGAATGCGTCGAGAGCAGAGCAAAGAAAACAACACAATTATCTTTACAAAGTAAAGAGACGAACGTCGTGAACTTTATGAGAATACTGGTGATGAGGCTCGTATTTGGAGTCGCATCGTCAATGGGACTTGGTGAAAACCTCTCCGAGGTACTTGGAGGAATTTTTGTACCACCCGGAGTAGACGATTACTCTGATTACGGCGATGACGAAATAATACCAGGCTTGTTTTAATCAAATTACGTGGTATTTGTATACAAA